TCAACGTAATTGGTAAGAAAGTAATCTCATTAGATGTCACTTCTCTTTTTACGGTTGTTCTTCTCACAGAAACTACTTGTTTTTTATGTGACTATATTGAAAACAATAACCTTGATATGTGTAGCCCAAAACATTATCTAAAAGAATTACTTTTACGACGTACGTTCAACGTGCAATTTAGATTTAATGATGATTTCTATAGACAAATAGATGGAGTTGCATTAGGTTCTCCATTAGGTCCTCTCTTGCCTGATTGTTTCATGACCAATCTAGAAAATTCGGTACTTCGACCAATAATTGAGAGATTTCATTTATATAAGAGATATATGGATGATACTTTCATTATTTGTGAAGAAGACATAAACTCAATGAAATTTTGAATAGTTTCAATAATTGTCACCCCTCAATTCAATTCACCTTAGAAGCAAAGGCAAACAATGAATTTCATCTTTTTGATGTCCGATTGGAAAGAATGCCGAATGGTTTTTTTAACAGAGATCGATATATAGAAAATCTACCTGGAATGGACAGTACACGAATTTCCATTGTTGGGTCTCACTGAATAGAAAGAGGAACTTAATTCACTCTTTGTCCTCTAGGATCAAGCGAATCTGTTCCACTGACAAAATAGATAAGGAACCATTTCAACTTCGACAGACTCTCATCAGAAATGGTTATCCACCTAGATTCGTCAATGGCAAATTAACACCTAAACCCCATCTTGAAAAAGCATCGACAGTACAGAAGAAAACCTTGTTTATGAATATGAAATTTAAAGGAGACACGGCCGCTGATATCTTAAATAAACGGATTTCAAAATCATTGAATAAAACTTTCTACTCAGCCAAGCTCCGAATTGTTTACTCAAGCCGGCCTACCTTTCCTGGATGCGTCAAAGATAAGCTTTCGCTTTGGGCCACATCAATGTGTATTTATAAATTTACATGCCCATGTTGGGCTTGTTATATAGGCCGAACAAAGCGATCACTTTCCAAATGCATCTCAGAACACTATCCGGCTTGACTTTTAAAAGGAGAATGTAAGATAATCACTAGTTCTATACAGGAGTATTTAATCAATTTTGGACACACTTCTCCCAAATATTCTTCTTTTAAAGTGATCTACAGAGTCAAATGAATTGGATCGAAGGAGTGTCGAATCAATATTCTATGCACTGCTGAGGCATTGGCAATTCACGAACTCAAGCCCGAACTTTGCGTGCAGAAACGATTTGTCCAACCTCTCATTCTTCTTTGGCCCTGATTCCCTTAATGGGTATGTTTCTGTTTTGTTTTTTCTGAACTTTTATTTGATTATTATCGGATTTTTTAAATTACTATTTTGCATATTAAAACTCTAATCAGTGATTATTATTACCTTACAGATTGAAATCATGAGTCAATCGAAGCTAGACCACCACTGAAAACCTGGAAGCACTGGACGGCCGTTTCGTCCTAGTATGGGACTCCTCTGCAGTGCGCATCCATGACCCCGCACCACGCGGGGCCCGAACCCAGGACCTACTGGCTTCGCGCGCGAGCACTTGACCATTAGACCACTGAGCCGGCTTCCAACGGTAATAATGTCTAACTTCAACCAATCCACGAAGTTGCGCCAACATATACCATTGTCTTCAGTGAGCTGATATCTTACAACAGACGTGGTTGTACTCCACTGGTAACGGCTTCCCACTAGTCCTTCCAGGTTTTCAATGGTGGTCTAGCTTCAACTGACTCATAATTTCAATCTGTGAAAATTTCTAAAAATCTCCACAAACCCCTTCTGATAATAATCATCTGCTCATTAGTGACTGACTTCAAGTGATACTCCTGGAGTTCTACTGGGAAGCCGTTACCAGTGGAGTACAACCAGGTCTGTTGTGAGATATCAGCTCACTGAAGTTTTCTTGATTATTATTCAGTATATTAATGTGACCTTTGTGTTTATCGCTTTTCTTCGTATCTGTCAATTGGACTATTATCTGACCCATAAATGATATTCTTCCTTACCCCTTGATTAGTACGTAACCTCATTTGTTATTTATCCTCGAATCCATTTTGGTGATGTAATTTTATCTATCCTCCTATAGACATACATTTCCCATGTAACTCTATATACGAATGATTTCGTCGAAAAGAAAAATTTTCTTCGCTGAATTCCCTTTTTCTGTTTCTTATGGAATATATAAATAAATTCAGTTTCATTTAATGAATTTAGTCTTAACAAATCAATGTAAACATTGAATATTCTCTGTCTATAATGTTAATTGACTTAATGAGTTTAATAAAATGATAGGTTTTTTGATTGAATTAGGGTACACTACTACTTGATGTGTAATGTTTTAAGTAAATTTCTAACTGTCTTATCAAATAAACAATTATCTGATTTTCTGATCTATATATATATATTTTCACAGAAATCTGATAAACGATCATGGAAATGATACTGTGGTGCTGCTACTTATATTGATATAAGTAGTATATTATGCTAGTCAGGAATGTAATGTCTGGCAGCAGAAAATGAGGGAAGATCAAGAAAGCAAAAGTGGGAATAGAATGCAATTTGTATGAAAATGTAAGAACAATGAAGTTTGAGACAATTGGTGGACATTTTGCAAATTAACGATTTAATATATGGTTCTCAGATTTTATTGAGATACTCTGTAATGTTGTGTCAAATACATTCGATTGTCCCCACCCGTGCCCTGTTAACTACAATACAAGTTGAAAACTGCTTTGATTTAGATAATATTATGGATTAATATCTTTCATAGAGAAGAATCAAAATTCACAATCAGACGACTTTTAGTTATCTTACTCCTATCCCTTTTGTTTCTCTTCATCATTTTGTCATCATTTTTAAAGTAGTAGTCCTTTTCTTACAATGCTCTATTCGTCTGTATTTTACGTGCATAAGTAAGTACTTTTCTTTAAAACTTTAGTCGATAGTGTTTATAGAGGTAATCTACATTTAATTTTAGTTAAAGTTAAAACATCATTCAGAACATCTTTTAGAATTAAATTTCTTTAAGTTATTTCGCTTTATATATGTGGCACCATTTGTATTGAAGAAAGGCTGAGGTAGGGTAAAACAATTTAATACTTAACTTAAAATTTTACTATCGCTTAGTAAAATATGACAATTATACATTAGATACATCATCTGCACATCTTCAAGTTGTCCTTTACATACACCACAATTTTTCTGATTCTGTTGTTATTGTGATTGAACTCAGATTCCCTTCATGTTCTCTTTATGGCAATTTCCCGCTAACAGGTATCCCACTTCCGATTGGTGCTACACACTTTTTGATAGGGTTTTGTTCTCCGAGCTGGATGGTTTCATCGTAGAGCTTTCATCATTCTTCTGAACGACATTATTTCTTTGTTTGGTTGTATTCTTCTTTGGCTTGATTTTTGGTCCTATGTTTCTCCATAATTTTTCTACATACGTACTACATACCACTCATATCTGTTGGCACTACAATATCATGAGCACAAACCAATGAATGTTATTCTACGCATCGTTACATGTCCTATTTTTGAGTTCATGAACGGATAAATAAAATTTAGCACTTAGATTTGTAGCTTGATTCCAAAAACATGATATAATGAATATTATTAGACTAATACTATTGAAAATTTCGGTCTGTCTGGTTCTCGAAATGTTTTAAATGATTATAGCGAAGTATACTGAGTTAAATTTATTTGGTTCCTACGCTGAAACCAATGACTACATATATGTTTTCTAGAAAGTGATATACTAACAAATCAGCACATGTTTTCAGCTGATGCGAAATCGTTTTATACTACTCATAACTGACTAATACCTACAGAGAATTTAAAATACTTTTCAGCGATGATTACCGAAAAATTGCGCATTACTAAACTAGCAAGCTTACCATTTGAACTATTGTTGCCTTGTAAAATAGACATTATTAGTACATTAAACTAGCCAATTTTAAGTTCATCATGTGTATAAAGAGTTTAATTGACTAATTGGGTTTGCATTTATTCCAGGTCCTTTTGATATTTTATCTTCTAGGTATCAACAAAATAATCAGTAGTATAAATCAAATTTTATTTGAGAGACCAATAGAAAGGTGATTGAATATTATTCATTTTCATTTTTCCTACAAAACCATCGAAATACTTCGGAAACAAACTGTTACAGTCTATACTATCACTATACCATCTTTAACCGTAACACAGTGTTCGTTTTCATATATATAAACGTATGCTTAATTTGTTTTTAATAGTTGTTTGACTCTTCTCATTGATGTTTAGAACTATAATTGACCAGTCTCTTTTGGTATATGTGCATCTTGTAAAAATTGCCTCCGTATTCTCATTAAGTCACCAGCTGTCCCTACAAAATCTTACTTTTATAAACATATCTACAAATTTCCGAATTATTGTTATTATTGTACATTTTTTATATTTGGAATACTTCAAGTTCTTTTATCACAGTAATAATAAAGTCAATTGAAACTAGACCACCATAAAAATCCTGAAAGTACAGAACGACCGTTTCGTCCTATTGTGCGACTCCTCAGCAATGCGTATCCATGATTCCGCCCGGCGTGATTCGAACCCAGGACATATCGGTCTCGGAGTAGTCGATGAGCACTGTTGAAGAGTTCGACAATAGGTCGTTCAGTGTTTCCAGGTTTTCCACAGTGGTTTAGCTTCAATTGATTCATGATCTCAACCATTGAAATTACTACAATATTCACAAAACTCCTTCTGATAATAATAAAGCTTTGTGAATATTCGAGTAAACGAATTATTGGTTACAATTGTACTGTTATATACTGAGTTCAACGTAAAATACTCACTCAAAACATGTATATATATACATTTTATTATTGTACCGAACTACACTGTAAATGTTTCATTTCACTTATGTTTTTACCGTATTGGTTATTTAAATAGTTAAGTGTGAATTTTGTTTTTTCGTTTCACCGAGTCGGGTTTGTTTTTTTTTTTTTCAATGAAAAGAAATTCAACCTGAAAAGTATAATAATTAAATTATGCAGAATATTTATCACCAATAACAGTCATAATAATCATGAATAAATAAATGTAAAAATATATAAAACTCATTATATATGTGAAAAAAAGGTGACTTTTTCTTCTATATAAGAAAGAATCACCTTTGGATATATATAAGTTATGCATTATAGAATAGTGTAATCACAAAATGATTGTAACTGTGAGGAAAAATAAACATTGTAAATATCTGATTGATCTTTTCAAAAAAGATACCGAAATCGAAGGTAAATTCAGTTTGGAAATGTTTTTTTTTTCAATGATATATATATATATATATATATATATATATGTACGGTTCATTATGAATCGCTTAGCTTAAATGAGTAATTATTGCATAATAGTGTAAAAGAAATAACAAAATGAATGATAACTAAATTACATAATGTATTGACATCAGATTTCGTAAAACTGTATAAGTTTATGTATTCAGCTTTGAAGTATGTGGTTTATAAATAAAAAAATAATATATTTGTAATATCCCAATGAGTAGAAAATTGGATTTTCTGACGTTTCGTGGCTTAGTGTAAGTCACTTCTTCAGAGAATAAATAACCAAATTAAAATTAATCCAAGTTCAACAACACAAGTTCCGTTGTACTATTTGAACTTGGATTAATTTTAATTTGGTTATTTATTCTCTGAAGAAGTGACTTACACTAAGCCACGAAACGTCAGAAAATCCAATTTTCTACTCATTGGGATATTACAAATATATTATTTTTATTTATAACAATCAACCCAATGCTCAATTTATTCGAAATTATCAAATCAAACCTTGGTAATGACACCTATGTGGTTTATGTTGATTTTTGTGATACCATCGGAAATCAGATGAGCACAAGTGCAATCAACTGATTTTAAGTCGAAGGCTTCAATCACTTTTTACTGATTTAAGTTAATCTATTTTTAGACAGCTAGAATAGATAATAACGGTAAGATAAGTAGTATTTGTTTAATAAAACAGAATATTAACATTTAGATGATTATAAAAATGAATATCATGATACCACTACTAAGAACAAGTTGGATTTAACCGAGTATCTATATTTATATGACATTTATCTTGAATATTTTGAAAGTTAGTTTTATAACATAAAGATAGTTAGTGACTAAGAATCTGCAGTTTATTCTGAAACTACCTTATTTTTCGTTAATGACTTTTAGTCTTACTGGTTGATTCATTAGTCAAATGTATCTAATGAAATTCCTTATATATATTTTCACTAGTTATCATATTTCATTTATCATTTTCATTCTTCATCGGATTAGTCTTGGTTTGTTATTCAAAGAAAGATACTGAAGTCTATGATTTCATTTCCACTATGAAAAATATTTTTCAGTGAAATTAAGAAAAAAAAAGTAAAATTTCTCCAGTATAACACAATTTTCAAGAGTTTATAAATCATCTCTGATCTGAAATCAAATTTAACTTTTTATCAAAAAGGGTTTTATGAATATTATAGTAATTTCAATAGTCGAGATCATGAGTCAGTTCAAGCTAGATCACCATAGAAAACCTGAAACCACTTGATGGCTGTAATTCTTCTACTCCGTTAACCGGTGAACAAAAGATATTGCTAATTAATTTTCTTATTTGAATGGTAAATAACAATCATTGACAAGATGTGATTCATGGACATAAATATTCATTAAACTTAACTAAATTAACAGCAGTCACAGTCGGTAAAAATAGCCTTTTTTAAAACGATGTTTGTAGAATAAAAGTCTACAAAATGTAAGATACTACTTAATAATTTAATTCTTATGTGGTATTAAAATCTTACGAAACTGTAGAAGTAAAATATTTAGTTGCTTATACCTTAAGATTCATTTTAAAATTCAATAATTGACTGTATACGAAATAGTTGAATGCATGAGTCGATGTAAGCTAGACTATCATTGAAAATCTAGAAACACTAGACGGCTATTTCGTCCGAAAATAGGATTCCTCATCGATTCGAATCCACGATCGCTCACCTAAGGGGTTCAAACCCAAGACCTTAGGTCCCTTGTGTGAACGCCCAACCTTTAGATCCATGAGCTGATCGTCATCCAACGGTGTTATTACCTATTTTCAACCAAACCACGAAATTGCGCGGTCGTCCATCATTGTCTTCAGTGAGTAACTGCCTCACAACAGACACAGTTGAACTCCACTAGTCACAGCTTGTCACTAGAACTCCAAAACATTTACCTTGAAGCTAGTAAATAATGGGTATATGATTATTATTATTGGAATGGGGGTTCGTGGAATGGATGCGCACTGCTGAGGAATCCTATACTAGGAAAAAACGGTCTTTTAGTGTTCTCAGATTTTCAGTGGTGGTCTAGCTCAAATTTTCTCACAAATTCAACTATTAAAAATTTCTACAATTTCCACAAACTCCCATTTTGACTGTATATAAGTTCATAAATTAGAGATTGTCTTTTAAACTATTCTAAATTCTTTGATCATTTCTGTTCAATTCCAATAAAGTTTTAATATGATGTACAGTTGAAAATGATAAATAACTCTTAATACATAATTTTCATTAGAAAAAACATCATTGTTTTTATTCTTTTTATATACAGATGATCAAGAAGTACTTCGTAGTCTTACATATCGTCAAAGATTATTAAGAAAAATGTATCCATTAGGATTTCTATATGAATTAAAAAAGTTACTACGTTTAGCAATACCTATTGTAAGTTAAATAAGAGGAAAAATTAATTTTCACTGTTTTTCTTTCTTTCTTTCAAATCAAATCTTAAAAGATTTGTCATTTCAACTCGACTGTCAGAGTTCTTTATTATTTCACTGAAGAAGCCGAAACAAAGTTTCTATATCAATAATTATAGGTTAAGAAGCTACAAATTATTTATATAATCATATCAGTATTACCAACATAGTATGAGATTGTAGAGATTGTAGAGTTTTCATTCAAATCATGAATCGATGAATGTAGACCACTATGATCCCGCAATCAGTATTCGGACCCGGGACCTTGGGTCTTGCTCGTGATCGCTTAACCTCTAAGTCACTGAGCAGGCATCCAACAGTCATGGTGTTGACTGTAACCAAGTAAGCAGATATCATGTTTTATTTTCCATCTTAGCATTCTTAAAGTGAATGAGATGTTGGTATTGCATATACAATATTAATAAAAGTGGATTGTTTGCTGAAATCTACTATTAATTTAATTGTCACATGTGAAATTAAGAGAACATTTTTGGGGGTAGAAAAATTCACAGGTTTATTATATTCACTTATGTCATACTTGTAAATCACACTCATACTTTAGCCACAGTATCAATACTAGAAGACTAGAATACTTAAAAAGTTCCTTATATCTATTATATAATTAATATGAGACCAAACATTTGATCCTTTTCAATGTCAATAATAATAAATGATCTGGTCAAGATGTTGATATCCATTGAAGTGATAATTAGCTAATGAATAGTACAAGATGTAGAGTTGATTCCAATTTGTGTCAATATATATTGGGATCAAAATCTTTTGATTGTTTTTAACTAAATTGATTTTTCTAGAATCCATTATTAATTTATATCCAATGAATATATATATTTTTTAAATTTTATATTTTAGACTATTTCATCAATGTTAACATATACAATTTCACCTGTCAGTATGGCATTCTGTGGTCATTTAGGCAAAATTCAATTAGCTACAATCGGTTTAGCTATGTCAGTGTTCAGTGTTTGTGGTATGTTTGTTATTCTAGGATTACTCTCTGCATGTGATACATTATTTTCACAAGTAAGAATACATTTTCTTTTTTTTTTTGCTTCAATATTTAGAATAATTAATTAGTTTCACTTGGTATTGTTTGGCTTGTATCTTCCCATCGAGGTTTAATACTACAATTGATCACTCTGTTAGTTTTATAATAATCTATTTATTTATTACTTTAGTAATCTATGCAAAAATACATTTTAAACATAAACATATTGAAGTTTCATTCTTTGACCTAGATGGTTTAGTCGACAAAACTCTATTGAAATCATCTACATGAATTACAGATCTACTCCATTATCATTTATGACAATACTGACAATAATTTTCAGTTTAACGTTTAACTATTACTCAATGAAGTTTTCATATGTTTTTATTATTAAGATGCCGACTAGTGTGAAACAAAGTCAACAATAGTTTATTTTATAAATACCAGAGGAGAACTTTCTATTTTGTTCCATTCATAAAGAGAAGTATATTTAATTTTTATAGTATAAAATTACAGTACATTTAATCAATTTTAATTCATTTTGTCTGATGAGATGCCTATGCTCCTTCATGAAGGGTGGTAATTTATTTTGTACAAAGAAAACAATCAAATAGCTGAATGTTTTAGTATACTCAAATGTAACAAAAGAAAACTTGTAAATCTTATCATAATATTCACACTAATAGGCTTATTCATTCATACAAAAAATGACAGCTCCAATCGACTCATGACTTTAACTATTGAAATTAATAAAATCTCTACAAAATCCCTCCTGATAATAATCATCTGCTCACTAGTGACTGACTTCAAGATTCATTTCCTGGAGTTCTAGTGAAAAGCCGTGACCAGTGGAGTTCAACCAAGTCTGTTGTGAGATGTCAGCTCGCTGAGGACAATGGTGGGCAGTGGCGCAATTTTTTGGATTGGTTAAGCGCTCGCGCGAGAGACTGTATACGTTCTGGGTCCGAATCTCGCGGGGGGCTGGATCGTGGATGTGCACTGCTTAGGAGTCCCATACTAGGACGAAACGGCTGTTCAATGCTTCCAGATTTTCCATGGTGTTCCAGCTTCGATTGACCCATGATTTCAACTATTTTAATATTGAAACCATAGAAAAAGCTTTAGTGAGACTATAATTTCTGGATGACCTTTGAGCGACGCTAGACTGACATTGAGAGTGTCCACCTAATAACTAGGACCAAATGAGGGTTATAAACATGGGTGAAGAATTCGAATTATGATTTCCAGTTGATAATTAAGGTTAAGAATTAAATTTAAGGTTTAAATCACGAACTGACATCAGCTACGATACTAAGACTCTGTTTATCTAAATAGATGAGTGAAGTTCGCTGCAAAAACTGAGAACTGTTATCTTACACTTGATTGATTCGTCCATAAATTATAGTCTCACCATAGTTTTCATACCTAAAAAAATTGATCATCCGTTTTATCTCATCAAAACAAAAGATAATAAAGATTAAAAGATTGAAAAATTAGTTAAATAATCGAACGATTATAGTTTTTGTTTTATGATACACGCTTCATTAGTCCATAAATCTAATTAAAATATAAAAGTAAAAATAGGATGTTAAATAATGTAAGTTAATTACTTTCTATTTGACTTTCTTTTTGTGCAACAAAGTATATGTATATCTATTCTAGATGTATCTGAAGTGGAGAAATGGCTCAGTGTTTTAGGAATTGTATTATTTGGCTAATAAAATATAAATCAAAATCCAATGCCATCTATTCCACTTTTTGGACGTCTGGGTAATATTGCTGGACCTCACATCAAGAGTGTGTCCGAAAGCCAAGTACATAGATTTGTACCTGGTTAGTGTACTGATAATAATAATAATAACGCATTTCTGTAAAGAAAAGACATGTTAATATTAATTCAATGTATACAGTTTGTTTTACTCATTTTTATTGCATTCTAGACATATGGGAGTATAATGAAAGATAAAATGATTGTTCAATTATACAGAGGTAAATTCATTTCATTTATTTAACCATTAACACAGTATAAAGTTAGTTTTAGCTCTTGATTGACATTAATTAGACAATTAACCAGTGAAGATTTACATAGTTGTTTAATTATAGCTAGGAAATTTCTTAACTAATTTAGTAGCCTATCAACAAGGTGGAACAAACTGAATGAACTGATTTTATCGACATTCTTTTTTCTTTTTGAGTTAACAATTGAATCTTAATGTATAACACATAACCAACTGAATGAATGACCATTTATAATGCCGATAAAAATGTGAAGAGATCCAATTGTAAAAGCTATATTCAACAAAGTGGAAAACCATATATATATATATTTCATTAGACTGATATATATTAATAGATTAATTGACGTTTGAGGTAGTATTACTTGAGCCTATAAATTTCTAAGAACTGTCAATTAGACATTAGTTTCTAAGTTCACTTTTATTTATTTTATTTATTTTAACACAAAGATATTGGTACAATGAGGCACCAAATGCATATGCGACACACAAATCTCATTCGATATGTGTGAGGGCTGTGATACTGCCCGGGTGCCCAAACCGAAACAGGTGGTTTTCTTAGGGGGCCATTCCACGAGCCTTCGACCTGAAAGTCTGATCCACAAGGCAGTGGAGCATCGTAAGGAGATGCAGTCCCATGGAAGCCGGTGACCAACGATTGTTAATACGCCATTTGTTCCTTCAGGATCCTGGAGCCTATGTGCACCATGTTTTGGAATCCGGTTGAAGCGTCGGACATTCGCTTTTCGTCCTCTCATTTTCGTAAACAACAGTAATGCCACGAGAAGGCAGTGGGTAGGATTTCCCTGGAAGTGGCTATATACGCGTGGCATTTGGAGAGGGAGAGCGCAATCTCTTCACTCTCGGCCATACCAGGGCATTTGGGGGCAGGTTCCGACTACTTTCTTATCATTTCATTCGGATAAATGAATTGTTGTCTTCAGGATATACTTTATTCTGAATAGAATGAAAATAGTTAATGTTAATTAGGAGTACTTTGTATAATGTAGTTATATATTATTGAGTAAGTAAGTGGATATTATTCCACATAAGATAAACATTTAGTAAGATTGATCAAATTTCAGTCAAGATGATCAAAAACTGAGTAACTCAAATCTTTTTCGGTAATCATAGAATTAAAGCTTAATGCCTAGAATTGAACATTTCATTTGTGATTTTAGCATGAAAATATAGTAAACAATCTATTTTGTGTAAAATTAAGTAAAAAAACTAGATAAGAACAAACAATAATAATATTTTTAGTATTAAATAACTTTGAATACTAGGACGAAACGGCCGTCCACTGATTCCAGGCTTTCACTGATGATCTAGTTTACATAGACTCATGAATTTAACTACTAAAAAATGTAATCGTTAAATTCACGAGTTAATTGAAGCTAGACAATCATGAAAAACCTGGAAGCACTGGAAGGCCGTTTTGTCCTAGTAGTGTGCATCCACGATCTCACCTTGCAAGATTCGAACTCAGGACCTATTTATCTAGCTTCAACTGACTCATGCATTCAACTAATAAATTACTATAATATTCACAAAACTTCTCTCTGATTATTAAAAACTACTACAATCTCCACTAACCCCTATTCTGATGATAATAATATTTCCTTTATATACAAGTTTTAAAAATGGTAACCGATTAAACAATTGATTTTAATTCCATTTCTTTTTCTTTTAAAGCTGTTATCTTAATTTTACTATGTTGTATTCCATCATGTGCTTTGTACTTGAACGCGGAACCATTACTATTATTACTTGGACAAAATCCTTTAATTGCAAAGTAAGTCACTCATTTAACGTCTTAAATAATAATTCATAGAAAAGATACTAATATACTCATTGTTTGTTAAATGTTCAATCAGTCGAGGAATGGTACTAATTACTAGGAAATTATAACTGAATGAAGCTTGAGAATTGATTTTTTCACTGCAGAATTCTTTATCTGTATAGTAGTACCATTACAGGATAAAATCATTCACTATGGAGTAGTGAATTTAGTCAAATTTAGTCCACCCGAAAACAACTATATTTTCTCCACGACTGTCTTTACCAGCATGTTCTACCAACAAGTGTAAGATACAGACCTACAATCATATGCCCTTTGGGATGGAGAATAGCTGAGCAAAGTGGAAGAAAAATGGTACACCTAATGATAACAGATGCACGTTATAGAACCCGCAAATACCAACACTTTAAAGAGGATCAAAAGATGAAGCTACAAAGGACACTCACGTCAGAACATTTGGAAATCTTGACAATAGCCATCGAGATATCATGCAAACGACACAGAGAACGAAAAACCACCCTAAAGACTAAACTAATCAAGATCTCAAAACCGCCTATGGAAGAAAACACAAACAACTGCGTGGTCAACTTGTCAGGTTGTTTGAAAATGGGCGAATGTAAATATTAAGAGAACACTGGTCTATCTAAAGAAACTAGATGGTCTCTATTCTTTTTTTTGGGCGGAAGCATCGAACAGCATAGTTTTTAGCATTTACCTCTTCAAAATGTTACAATGTCTATCTGTTATGAATACTAATTATACAAATAAGTGAAAAGCATAACTTTATATATTACCATAACAATTTATGTATCAATAAAATATTATGGATCTCCAAATATCTATTTTAATTTTCTTTTAGAAACATAATTATCAGTTTAGGGCTTGTGGAGATAGTTAAGTTTTCGATTGAAGTCATGAATCAGTTGAAGCTAGACCACCACGGAAAACCTGGAAGCACTGAACGGCCGTTTCGTCCTAGTATGGGACTCCTCAGCAGTGCGCATTCACGATCCCGCACCCTGCGAGATTCGAACCCAGGACGTATCGGTATTGCGCCAGGCGCTTACCAACTAGGCCACTGAGACGGCATCCAATGGTGTTAATGTCTAACCTCAACCAATCCACGAAATTGCGCGACCATCTTCTATTGTACTGAGGTAGACACCTGTTTCTACCCGACACGGATTAGCTCCACTGGTCACGGCTTCCGAAACATGATTCATATTTTAGTACATAATAATTAAAAATTTATTTTTTTAATATTTTTTTATCACATAGGGGAACTGGTGAATTGTTGCTTTATCTTATACCGGGATTACTTGTAAGTTGTAAAAATGTATAATTATCCAGATCAATTTTGTTATAGTTTAGTTCACTTGGACAATTATTTATCAGGTTTGTTCAAACACAAGTATGTTCAAAGTTGTTGTTGTTTTTTTATACCTAATATATATATTTACTGACAAGATTTATTCTAATATTATTCGGAATCATATTCAACTTTCATTTGATCTAATTACTTTTATTCATTTGGTTATGTTTCCTTGAATCCTCCCATTGATGATTGGGACTGCAGTTGATCAGTTTTTTATTGGCATATGGGCATCCTGTGCGTATCGCCTTGGTATTGCCCTAATTCACAATCATTATGAGGAAAGATGGATAGTAGATAGCAGTGGAATCCAGGACACGTGTTTAGTCCTATTTATAATGCTTGTGAATTGAAGCAATATTGAGGCAATTCATACTGGATACCCGTATGCCAATAAAAGACTGATCAATTGCAGTCTTAAACATCAATGGAAAAATTCAAGCAGACAATACAAAGTGAGTTTAAACTTCACCCCATTACACAAGCAAGTGGCTAAATGGATAATGCGATGGCGTTTGAAGTGAATGGTACTGGGTTCGATTCCCAGGGTGAGCATCCACTCCATAATGAAGGTACATCCATTTGAAGAGTTTCAAAACGCGCGTTCTGGATTCCATTGCTAGCCACTATCCATCTTTGCTTATAATTACTTTTATATTTCACTATAATAAATGATCCCAAATGATTTCACGATGAAATTTATTGATTTGGATTGATGATTATCCTAAGTTTTCGAATAAAAAGCTGGAATAAGTTACAATATACAATATTTTACAAATTTGTTTGCTGTTATCAATTTTTTTAATGGCATTATTTATTTATTTGATACATGTATTTAACGGTTGAATTCATTAATAGATCTAAGCTTGATCTTACTTACTTACTTACGCCTGTTACTCCTCGTGAAGGAGCATATGCCGCTCACCAGTATTCTCCATCCAACCCTGTCCTGGGCAATCCTTTCCAGCTCCTTCCAGTTGTTATTCACCCTTTTCCGTTGCTATTTGACTGGTCTTCCCGGTCTCCCACATTGTTCACACGTTCCATGTACCTACAAAAATGTTTGCTCTGATTGTTAGAAGAGGCATCGGCCTTGTGGCTTTCGATGGAATTCGGCTTTCACCATGAAGCGTCATAATTCTTCTAAATGAAGACCTTCTAACTCCCAGGGCAGAGTTAAAATGGTTTGGATTATTTTTTCTGGTATGCGTTTTTTTAGCGAGTTAGTTTTTTACGGGATGGGGACGCTAACCTCATGCCCAACCCTCCTCCTTTACCCGAGCTTGAGACCGGCAGTAACTCTAGAAGAGCTACAGGCGGAGTTTAAGCTTGATCACCATTGAAAATCTGATCTAACATAGATCAACTCATGAATTCAACTGTTAAAAATTGCTACAATCTCCACATATCCTTATACTGATAATATTCATTTAAGTCACAAAATATAATTAGAGAGATCAATTAAACCTTAGATTAACTGAGAATAAGTTTTAACAGTATCCTTTGTAAAGTGTTTGTTTGGAGAATGGAAACAGTTAGTAAATAAAATAAAATAAGCTATATCTAGAAAATTGAATTTTATAATGGATCACCTTTATTTGTTTTATTTCTTCAATTTTACACATTTATGTAACAGTTCGTAGTTCAGTATTCATATGATTTTACTAGAGTTTAACTTATTATTAAGTTTTCCCTTAGGCGATTATTTCTATTCCGCTTATCTATTTATCATTGTTATATACGAATATAAATTCATCTAGTGATCTGCGTGACGTTATTCCTAAATAATAAACTTAAGTCTCTTCGGCATTCGAAATCATAGGACTGTTGTTTCTTGTGGTTCAGAATTATTCTTTCCTAGCTCAATGCTGAGTAGTAGTCAGTTTAGTGCTGACTAATTTCAAATAATGATCTATACTGTTCGATCAAGTTTTAATCAATGCTGTAATTAACTTTATTCTGGTGTTGGGCAGTTGTAAGATATCCAGAGGATGCTTTTGACTAGGAATTTATATTAGTTAGCACAGGTCATTTGTTATCCTGTAGTTAGTTTTCTGGCTATTCTGTATCATAACACTACCGCTTAGCTATCCAGGCGAATAAACAAAATTTAGATCTTGAACTTCCTTCTGTTTAATCCTAATTGTTTACACACTGGCCGTTTACAAAGGCTTCTAAACTGTCACCTCACACGGAAATGGTAAATATTTAGCGTCGACATATACAACCTGAATTACAAATATGTAAGTTTTCTTTATAAATATGAAATACAGGTATTATAACGGGAATGATTGATTTACTATTATATTAGTGAGAAAATTATGTTACAAAAAGAAAGAATTTCAGACGGGGTCGTGGATGCGCACTGCTGAGGAGTCTCACAATAGAAGGAAACGGCCGTCCAGTGCTTCCAGGTTTTCCATGGTGGTCTAGCTTTAATTGACTCATGATCTCAACTATTGAAATTACTACGATCTCCACAAAACCCCTTCTGATACTAATAGGTTTATGTTATCAATCAATAATAATCAATAAAATCAATAAAACCACAACGGGTTAAATTACGTGATAGAAAATTATAAATCAACAATTATTCATACCATAAGGATTTTCATCTACTAACTAACCTGATGGAAATAAGAAATGATAGAAGGGATATGAATATTTTCTTATAAAATATATTCTATGGAGATATTGCCTAATTATTATATATTGTTCACACATTGTAATAATTTCAAACTTTCCTACAACACATGATATTCGGAATATATTTTGTTTATGTAAACTAGTCTATCAGAATGCCTGTAGGCAAGTTTAATCATAAACATGAAATATTAGAAAAATCTTTTCAATTTAAACCTATCCCTTTTTTATTCTAAATGTTAACACTATCGTGAAGATTGTTGATAAGAAGTACACGTTAAAAAAATATGGGCTTATAATTCTACATGTGGGATATGCCTCAGTGTTTACTGACTATGTTATTAATCTCAGCTAAGAGTAACAATATCAAATGTTTAGTAAATGTAACTTTGAAGGTGATTATTCATACTATAGTGAACGAGAACATAAATAGGGACAACTAAATGTAGTTCAATACAAAATTGCAGAATATCTTTGTAAAATTTGAGGATCATACAGTAAATACTTCATTTGCAAAATGTCAATCAATTGTCTCAGACTTCATTGTTCTTTCGTTTTCACACCAAGCATTCTCTATTCTCGTGCTCTTTTATTCAATCTTCCTAACCTTCTGCCGCTAGACATTTCACTTTCGACTGATGATACATACTATTCATATCTGTCGACATCAGTAGTAAAACACCACAATACCACCTATATGTATGTCGGTCTATTGTGTATTATTATAGTTAACATATATAAGTTCCTTCTATTCGCCTTATTCTAACAAATTTTCTGGTAACATAAAGATTTTTTGACGCTATTCTAATCGTGCTTTTTATTTTTTTCTCTTTCCAACAGAATCATGTATATGCTCCATTAGTTATTATGATTTTTGTGAATGGTATCAATGCATTAATGCATTATATACTGATTTATATAATGAATATGGATGTAAGGTAAACGAATTAGCTATGTACGTAAAAACATTAATGTGTAGTAATTTCCTGTATTTTTTTCCAAACAAAAAAGAAATGTACCATTAAGTAGTCTCATGTTTAATTAAATTATAAGTAAGTAAAATCTGTTAGAATAATACAACGAGTAAGCTCAAGTGATAAATTAAAAAGGTGGGTTATTCGATTATTCAGTGCACCGTTGAAGAGTCCCATACTAGGACGAAACAGCAGTCCAGTGCTTCCAGATTTTCCATGTTGGTCTAGCTCTAGTCGACTCATGATTTCAACTATTGAAACTACCAAAATAAATCGTTAATCAATTAAACTTTGAACTCATCATTAACAGTTGATAACTTCAATTTACTTTACTTGTGGTCTGGTTTGTGACGAAATCTCAGCACGGATATAGAAGGCTCCACTAGCTTTTGCCAACTTGCGTCATTTATGACGTAGGCGAGAGATCCATATGTCAACCAAAGAACGGGTTTACTGCGCAGCAGTTCTTTCCGTCCTACTTTATGGTAGTGAAACATGGCCGGTAAGAGTGAAGGGCATTCGTAGGTTACTAATATTCGATCATAGGTGTCTTCGAAACATTACTCGTGTATATTGGGACCACCGAGTAACTAGTGCATTTGTTAGGAAACAGGTACCAGATAAGAATGACAAACCACTTGATGAAGTAGTGAATCTTCATCAGTTGAGATGGCTGGGACACGTGTTACGTATTCTGAACTACCGACTGCCCCGACATGCGATGTTTTATGGTGTAGGAGTAAATTGGAAGAAGGTTACAGGCGACCAGACCAAAACATGGCACAAATCCATGAAGTCACTGACAAATGGACTGAGTCATGTTGGTAGGTGTAGACTACCTGGTTGGGGACCACGAGATGATAGCAACCGATGATTATAGACCCTGAATGACATGGATCAAGATTGTTTGTAATGGCGCAGGTGCATCCACTCTATGCGTTCTCCCAAATTCTAATCTTCTGAATTCTTCATATCCCTTATTTTCTTTCTAAATTCACTTCACTTTATTATACTCCTTAAATAACATTTTCAAACGTTAACGTTTCCGATTACTGCTCATACTCTTACTACATCTACCACTACGTGATTTGGATCGACAACTGCATCGCTGTGATAATGTGGTATGGCAACTCGAATTGATGTATGTACGTTGGAAGTTCTACGCTCTTACTGACTGACTGGATGAATTTACTTTTGAATTTATTAAAGAAAAATATGATTGATGTTGATGAATATTGTTAAATTTATCTAATTGGATTTGTTTCTTTATTCTCTTTTTTTGTTGTTACAAATTTTAGAGCTTCACCAATATCTCAAGCAACAGCATATTTTTTTCAAGTAATATGCTTTATTGTTTACATCATATTCATAGGTCATTCAAAAGATACCAACTTTAGTAAGTCATTAAAAAGAGAAAGAAATTAGGTGATATTCAAATGTCGAATTACTTATTATTACTGTTATCAGTTAGGTCAATTATTGTTAATATTATACATCATTTATGCATAAGTATTTTTTACTACTGAATTATTGCAGTATAATAAGTAACATATTCAGTATCAAAATAAAAAATAATAATATGATTTATATTTTATTCTATTTTCAATCTGTTCATCAATTACAAATAGCTTTAAGTAACTAACATAGTTTAAACCTTCGTTGTTGAATAATGTTTAAAATAGGACAGAAATTGGGAAAAACAAGAATTAAACAGAAAATATGAAAGCAAGTTATTAGTTAAGATTAGTGAATAATCATATGTTGAAATGGACTTCCGATGCGGAAAGAGATGAGGTTATAATCATTAATGATTATAACTGCGTCAAAATGAAAAAGAAAAAACAAATTGAATACATCCTGTTAATGGTATTCGTCACAGATTGATCATAGTTTTGGTCCTATTATAAACTAAAGAAGATAATTAGATCACTATTTTATTGTAGTTTGGTATTGCTCACCAGTGACCACCCGCTAATTCACTGGTGATCGATTCTAGAATTTATGTCTTGTGTGAGCATTTAATTGTTGGAACTACTGAGTTAAGGTCTACTATCAGAAATATCTAACTTTAAGTAATCCAGAGTAATATCATATCAGCCACTAAAGACTTATTCTATAATAAATTCCCAAATTTATAAAGGAGTTCAGCGATTTTAACACTGAAACAGTCACCAATTACGACATTTATAAAGATTTCTCTGTAGAGTTTCATTTTAGCATTCTACTTTAAACAGTACTGCACATAATATTAACTAGCAATCACGATATTTTTAACTGTCATGTACACTATTAACTCATCATATTTTTCTCCAATCACTTTGTTTAAGTTTTTTGATCACACATTCACTAGTAAATAGTTTGTAATATGAATATTTATGTACAAATATCTAATTACCATTGAATCCTAATTAGACTTGTATGTTTTTCTTGTAAAGAAAGGCTGTTATGATAGCACTTAAAACAGTATATCTTATTAACCCAAATGAGTAGTGGCTAGCAGTGGAATTCAAAAGGCGCGTCTCGTCTTATTTGGGACTGGATTTATCTGCATCCTAGAGTTGATGTTCATTCAGGGACTCCAATCCAGTACCATTCGCTTCAAACACCATCATGTTTGAGTCCTGATAGCCACTAACTTATGCAATGGGATTATTCAACCAAACGATGCAAAGTGGATTTACATAAATTATTGTTGTGACGTGTAGTGTCCGAAATCTGATACTGATACACAGTGTGCTACGGTCACTGACTATATGAGAGAGAACACAAGAGTGAGAGGGCAAGTGTATTGGACTACCAAATGAAACAAATACTCATTCATATACATACCACTCCATCCTTAGGAAACTGATACATTGATCCCAATGAAATACAGCTAACCTTTAGGTCACTTCTGATAGCCATCGATTGACTTTTCGCTACTACTGATTGACTCTCCATATCACTTAAAATTGATACAAATTTATTCTATTTCTATTTGAGAACTGTTAAGTTGACTAATTAACTAATTTATTCTTAGTTAGAAAAATGTTTAATAATTAAAAAAAGAACAACATAACACCTTCCACAGTCAATTAAAATTCTCCATCGTACATTTATAATTAAAATATTCATTTATTTTACAACCTGGATTTAATTTTCTTCCATTCATATTTTTTATACTACTTTTAATTTTATCAACCTATGTTCAGTTACATAGTAATTTTTTTCTTTTCAATAAAATAAGTAGTATGATAAGAAAAGTAATGACCAGACGATGAAATCTAATGAACTCATAACTGAATTGAAGCTAGACCATTATGGAAAATCTGGAAGTGCTGGACGGCCATTTCATTTTATTGTGGAATTCCTCAGAAGTGCACATCCAACGGAAGACCTAACGGTTTCGCGCGTGAACGCTTAACCTCTAAACCACTGAGCCGATATCCTACGGTGTTAATGTCTAACTTCAGTCAATCCATGAAATTGAACGACACATACACCGTTGTCTTCAGTGAGTTACTATATCACAATAGACCCCGTTGAACTACACTGGACACTGCCTCTCACTAGAACTCCAGAAAATATCAGTCACTACTGATAGTTTTTGGGTTTGTATCACAAATACGGGATCGTGAATGCGCACTGCTGAGGAGTTTCACAGTAGTGTGAAACGGTCGTCCAGTACTTCCAGGTTTTCCGTGGTGGTCTAGTTTCAACTGACTCATGATCTCAACTATTAACAATTATTATAATATCCACAAAGTTCCTTCTGATATTTGAAACTATCGGATCATTTATTTAAATCCAAGCTAATTGATTTTTAAAGGGTGATTAAAAAAGATTAACAAGAAAACTGATCATTAATGAAATATTGGATAAGAAGAAAATGTATAGACAAATTTATAAAATTAAGGATAGAAACTCTTGGATTTTGACGTAAATTTCATTTATCTATTTAGTTAAATAGCATTTCGACATTATAGAGGATATTAGTTCATGATGAAAATTTTTACTTTAATTCTTAACCTTAAATTCCAATTCGAAATCCTTATCCTAATTTTCCAATAATAATAATTTATAACCCTCTTTTGATCCTAGTAAATAGGAGAAGTGTTTGAAGGTCTTTTCAACATTGTTCAAAGGTCGTCTAGGAATTACAATCTTAAACAGTTGAGATCATGAGTCAATTGAAGCTAGACCACCTGGAAGCACTGGACGACCGTTCCATCCTAGTATGGGACTCCTCAGCAGTGCACATCCACGACCCCGCCTCGCGGGATTCGGACCCAGGGCCCGTCAGTCCCGCTTAACCAACTAGACCAGTGAGCCGGCATCCAATGATGTTAGTGGCTAACTTCAACTAATCCACGAAATTGAGCGACACATCCAGCATTGTCATCAGTGTTTTACTACCTCACAACTGACCCGGTTGAACTCCACTGGTCACTGCTTCTCACTAGAACTCCAGGATATATATCTTGAAGCCAGTCACTAGTGAGCATATGTTGATTTGTATCAGAAGGGGTTTTGTGGAGATTGTAGTAATTTAAACAGTTGATCGATCTCTTATGGGGATATATGTATACTGGGCACATTGCCTTAATTCACAAGCATTATAAGTAAAGATGGATGGTGGCTAGCATTGGAACCCATAATGAGCGTCTCGTCCTATTTAGAACTCATCAGATGTATGTGTCTGCATCCCAGAGTTGATATTCACTCCAGGACATCTTTATGAATAATGACTTGAACTAATAATTATTATATAAAAAATATTTAGGTTGATTAAAAAATGTAAAAATGATTTATAGACGTTTATAGTTATTATGTCAATACAAACAGAAAATTATGCCTATCTATTTGTTTCTTCTTTTTCTTCCTCTTCTTCTTCATCTTTATTTAGTAGTTATCTATAGTTTACAATAAAATAAGTTTTATATGTATATATGTACACATCTATCTACAAATGATTATAGTTGTCAGTCATTTGTACTTCGTGGAATATGAAGAGAAAAAAAATGCACCCAATTCTTTTCATCCTCCAATTTCTCATTTTGTTACGATCCACTGTTTTTTTTTATTAAAAAAAAGAGGGGAAAGAGGAAAAACAACTAGAAAGTCTAAAATTTATGGAACAATTATACTAAAATTGTAGGTATAACTTACTTTTAAATAGAATGATAATATAAAGTAAATATACTATCTTTAAACACATTTTTCATTATATAATGATATTCACTAAAAGAATTGTTGAAAATCAAGAAGTAATGAATAATTGTTTTGTCTAAGTTTTTGTCTTCTTATTAGTTTACATTCAAAATGTTTATATTTAGTACCTTGATCGATAGTTATCGATTGATTGATTTGGAAACTAGTGGTCAATTTGTTTTTGTAATTGATTCTTATTATCAATAAATAGTGTTGCACTATATTTATTCATGAAATTATTAATCGTATAAGTTACGACTGTTACTACTTATTACAAAACTCTTGTAATGTGAAAAGTTAAAGAACATAACGCTTAAGTATATAATAACAGGTTACAGAATAGTCACTGAAACCAATACTTTTGTGGTAAAGTCTTTAAGCTAGCAGAACTGATGTATGATTATATTTGTATATTATTTTACTGTTTACCTTTCTGTAAGTGTTTATTTAATCATTCATCTGTTAAACAAGTGAGTCTGCGTATCTATCATGCGATATCTACAAACTTCATTGATAATGTTATGTTAGTGGTACGATTTGTCATTATTACTATAAATTTTGTTTCATTTTGTGACCTTAAAACTATCCAGTAGTGCACTGTTTTTTTTTCTCGGTAAAATATAACTTACCTACCAAAGATATTCCCTACTTATCTTAGGCCAAAACTAAAATATTAAAGTAATCCTGATTTTTTTAGGTAAAGTTGGTGCTTTTACATTATCTTGTTGAACAGATATTTAACTGAATTAATCAGTGCAACATTGTGCTACTCATGAATGGGAATATGTTAAGTTTATGAAAACGTGTTCATCCTGAATGTTTACCATATATGATTTTTAGATTTAATTCTTAGGACATTGAATGAATAGATCACGCAAAATTATCTTAGTTAAAAATTGAATTTCAATAGTCAGATTCATGAGTCGATGTAAGCTGAACCATCATTGAAAACCTGGAATCACTGGATGGCTGTTTTGTCCTAGTATGGGACTCTTTAGCAGTGCACAGCCACGATCCCGCGTGTGAGATTCGACTCCGAGGTCTTTGGTTTCGCGTGCAAACGCTTAGGAATTATCCACCTCAGACTATAGATGAAGGGTTGTGTTAGATCGTGAATCGATTGAAGCTAGATATTAACAACACTGGATGCCGGTCAGCTCAGTCTTCTTGGGGATAAGTATTCGTACAAGAGACCTAAAGTCCTGGGTTCGAGTCCCTTTTGGGACAGGTTTGTGAATGCGCATTTCTGCGGAGTTCCATACCAGGACGAAACGACCGTCCAGTACTACCAGGTTTTTAATAGTGGTTAAGCTTACATCGATTCATGAATTCAGTTATCAAAATAACTGCAATGTCCACAAACCCCCATTCTGATCACAAAATGAATTATCGAATATATATCGAATCTACACGTTTGTAACGGTTATATGTAAGACAAATGCCTATGTAAGCCTTCTTCACACGATAACGATCGGAGTACCCATTCAAATGAGCAATCCAGCTGATACATATATATCATTAAGCAGTATAATTTAGTTAAATGGTCTAAATTATTTTAATCCTAATATTTGATAGATGTTATGTTGGATAGTGTCTAATTATTTATGAAAAATGCTAATTTACTGATGTTCATATTTTAAACTTTAGAGCTCATAACTGTATACTTGTAACTAGTAGTAGATAAAAATAGCTCTGTTATCATTCTATGTGAAAAGTAATTGATAGGCTTCAATTCGATTTGGTGACATCTTACACTTTGTCGTCCATCAAAATTATTTAATAACATACTTTTGTTTTCAAACATTTTTTTTCTTCAGAATTTACAAGAGAAATTTGGGAAGATTGGAATACATGGTTTCGTTTAGCTATACCTGGTTTAATTATGGTTAGTCTTGAATGGACAATTTATGAAATTGGTGGTTTTATCGCTGGTAAGATAATTGAAAAGTCTACTTTAAAATAATATCTTTGTATAATAGAAACATACTATATAGATTTATGTAGATGTAATGTTGAGGGGGTAAAGTTGCTTTAAAAAATAATGTATGAATCTAAAAAGATAGTAATAGAATGTTAACGAAAAGTGTCTGTATTCAAGTCTCATTGGTGTGGGTTCGTAGATGCGTAGACGTACTTTCAGGCTCCCGAATGCCCTGGTACGGTCGAGAGTGAGGAGAGTCCGCTCTCTCTCTCTCTCTCTCTCGAATCGCTCTCACATGGCCACGTGCATACAACCACTGTCATGGAACTCTTACTCACAGCATTACTGTTGTTTACGAAATTGAGAGGACGAAAAGCAAATGTTCGGCGCTTTAACTGGGTTGGTGGATACGAAGAGTTCACCTAGGAGAGTTGGAAAATCCTGATTCCAAACCAATGGTGTACATGGGCTCCAGGACTCCGAGGAAACAAATGGCGTATGGACCGATTATTAGTGACCGGCTACCATGAGACTGCATCTCCTGACATTGTTCCACTGCCTCATGGATTAGACTTTTAGTTTGAAGGCTTCGGGTGTGGCCTCCTTAGAAAACCACCTGCTTCGGTTCGGGCACCTAAGCAGTATCCCAGATCCTACACACATCGAATGATTTATGTAGCACATATCTATTTGATGCCTTCTTGTACCAATGTTTATGTGTTTAAACAAATAAATAGTATTCAATTAGTTATTCATACAGATTGATTGTAAATTTAAACAAGTTATTTGCTTTCATCGAGATGATGAATGATACTATGATACTATCTGGGTTGGATGTACGGAAAAATTCGAATATTGAGGGAGTTAATTTTAGATTTAGCATTTTGTGGTTTGTAATTAACTTTATTAGTGATTATTGTTATGATTAATTGTTAGCTATCATTTTACTAATTCAGCACCTTGTATTCAAGGTCATTGATACTAAGAGTTCAGTAGCTGGATGATATATAAGAATATAGAGTATAAAATTCATACTAAGCCTAGCAAATCCACGAAGTAAAGTTGGTATATATATATTTATATAATGTAGTACAGTAAATTCAGCGATATCTAACCTAACATTCCTCAGTGGTACGTCCATGATGTTTTAAAATTTGCATTTTTTAAACTAGTCACATAGTTTTATTATATACAGTAGATGGGTACATTCAGCTGGCAAATTTAAAAAAGGTATAAAGTTTGCTTCCTGGTTTCTACCTCCAATTATATATCAATTACACTAAAAATGTCTGATAAAACGCTATAAAGGAGAAATTTACATAGAATTCACAAATAGCAATAGGAACTGATCAGTTTTAATTTGTGTTATCTCGTCTTTGATATTTTAAACTCCCAACAATCGTAATTACATTGTGTAGGAATCAATGTCAAGGTTGGACTTGATGGGTTTTTTTTGTACTATATAAACTTGTGTTAATTTAATTCAGTTATTTAATTACTCTGAAGAAGTAGCTTATACTATGTCACGAAACGTCAGAAATACCATTTTACTACTCATTGGGATATAAAAAATATATGTCTATTATTAGTTATATAATATTTCAAATGATCAACATAATTGCTTTTTGCTAATATTTTTTTAAAAATTGAAATATACTGAAGTGATTTGGACTTTATTTCAAAGTGATACTGATCTAAATCAACAGATTCATTATCTTGGTAAAACTTATCTGAATGAGAAAAGTAATAAGGTTTAACTAAATACAATTCAAGAAAACCTTGAATATTATTACTTCGAAACGAGATTAAGGCTCCTATTGAAACTGTAGTAAAAACAGTTTTATTTTTTAAATTCACTTTGTATTGTTTATTTGAACATTTCCATTGATGATTAGGACTGCGATTGATTGGTCTCTTATTGGCATATGTGTATAATGTGCGCATTTCCTCAATATTGCCTTAATTCACAAGTATTATAAGCAAAGATGGATGGTGGCTAGCAATGGAATCCATAATGAGGGTCTTGTCCTATTTAGAACTCGTCAGATGTATGTGCCTGCATCCCAGAGTTGATGTTCACTCCAGGACTCAAACCTATTAGCGTTCGCTGTAAATACCATCGCATTATAGATTTAGTTACTGAGTCTTTGAAAGCAAACCTTTAATGAACAGATTATAGATTTAATTGTACATAAATAATAGAGTTTCAAATGATAGGTCATATTTTGCTGGGTTGATACACAAACAAAAAACCTGAATTTTTACTCAATAAAGAAATACTTGATGAACAATTTGCAATCTCTCAGTTTTATTCGCTGTACTATATACAGCAAAAACAGACCATAGAAGTGTTATACTTATTCCAATGGTGTTTTTTTATATTTTAGGGACTTTGGGAGCTCGTGAACTTGCTGCACAAACTATTATTCTATCTATTGGATCTATTAGCTATACTTTGGTAAGTTCAACATAAAATTAATTCAAAAATAATTTTAAAAATCTTAGTCAAGTGTTTGTAGTGTCGGTTGACATGTTAAGCCCATAAATCGTATTCTAGCTTTCGGACAGGCCAATTCATTCATTCTAGTTGAGTCACATTTCGACCTTGTTAAATATTCGCTTATCAACCTTGACTGTTTTTATATGAGTGTATGTTTGTGTACATTCTAATCCTATTCATCACATGTCTGTAGCCTATTTATGTGTGACGCTTGACCAAATGGAGTTGGTTTATCCGTCATCTCCAGTGCGTGTCGTTTCGCTTCAATCTATTCCATTTGCTTCTCCGATATTTTGTCTGGATCAAAGATTGTATGAAATATACGTATTCGAAATTCATTCTCGTATTTGACTTATTTAATTCCTTTATTGACTAAAACGATTGAAGTCGATGATTATATACAAGGAGATGCGACATATACATATCGACAGCAATCATTCAATAACAATCATTCATACGATCTACTTGGAGTCAGATGTTGGGCTACTAAATATTTAAATGAACTAAAAGTTAAAAGAAAATAATCTTCATTAACGAATACTATTTAGTAGTTTGTTATCATTACTATCATATTCATCCATATATTTGGTTTAAATAATAAATGTCGCTGGTTATTAGCAGTTTTGAAAATTAATTCTATTTCGCAACAAATACTATTTTTTTATACACATAGTTCCCTTTATTATCTTAAAGAGCGCAAGAACAAAGATTGGTGCAGAATAATATGAATTCATTTTATTTCGTTAGGTTCTCATCAGTTGCTTACAACCTAAATTATTTGAAATTCAACATTTTTACAGATATTGACATATTTATACATAAGAGTGTGATTAAGGATCAATACATGTGTATGATGATGTAGCAAGCAAAGATTCAGATAGAATTAATGAGCTCATAAAATGTTTGATTCGAATAAATAAATAAAGTTTGAGAGGGAAAGTTCTGGAACATTGAAATAGTGATTAGAACTCATGAAAATAGATTAATGGTAATAAAGAAAATATGAATTGAAATCAATCATTTATGTATGATGTAATTTATACTTCAGAAAAAGTTGCAATAATGACGCAATAAATAAATAAATAGGAGCAAATGAATAGAGAGAGTGAGGGTTATTGTTACCAGGGTAAAGAAAGATTTATTACTGTTTCTTTTTGTATACATAGATCTGGTTTTAAACGTTTGATTGCTAACGCTTCAGCGAATTTCAAAAGGTTGGAGTTTGATTGTTTGTTAATCACCTTGAAGGACTTCAGTATATCAGCTTTATGTCCTGTATCAAGGAGATGTCTTGCGATAGCACTGTTGAATGCTTTCAATCCATTTAACCTTAAACTTTTCGGAATATGTTCTTTGAATCGGACGTAGGCTCTCCTTTCTGTTCTACCAATGTAACTGCTTTGGCAGGTACATGTAAATTTGTATACACAGTTGGTGGTAACATGAAAGGGATACCTGTCGACCTTTGATTGTGTCAAAGAACATGTCGTTTTGGACAGGACAATCAATTTCGTTGCAGGATAAGTTCTTGTCAGTGCAGTTTTTAATCTCATATTGATTGATCCTGTGACATCGTCACCTTTGAATTGAAGTTGAATAAAAATAGGCTTTTTATTTGCTGTAATTTCTTTCGGTTTTCTATCTTCACCTTTGCCGTATTTCTCAATCAATTTCAGTGGGTATCCGTTATTCTTTACACATTTTTTAACATTCATAACTTCCTCTTCTAGTGTATCGGAAGTACATATTCTTTCTGTTCTGTAAAACAGTGTTTTGACCAGTGCCTTTTTGTAACTGATTGGACAAAAGCTATTGAAATTAAGATAATTACCATTCCATGTGGTCTTTCTTATAAACTGAACGTTGAACTGTACCATCTTTTCTTCTTTTCATCGCGATATCGAGAAAATGGAACATCAAACATAACTGATTGATTTCAATTCATATTTTCTTTATTACCATTAATCTATTTTCATGAGTTCTAATCACTATTTCAATGTTCCAGAACTTTCCCTCTCAAACTTTATTTATTTATTCGAATCAAACATTTTATGAGCTCATTAACTCTATCTGAATCTTTGCTTGCTACATCATCATACACATGTATTGATCCTTAATCACTCTCTTATGTATAAATATGTCAATATCTGTAAAAATGTTGAATTTCAAATAATTTAGGTTGTAAGCAACTGATGAGAACCTAACGAAATAAAATGACTTCATATTATTCTGCACCAATCTTTGTTCTTGCTCTATTTAAAATACTGTTTGTTTTTAAAAAAAATAAGTTTTTCTAACTTTCATATAACCAACACTTTCCAACAAAATATCGGTTTATCTCATTTGAATAGTTGAACTGTTACTAAGAAAATTAAATGGCATATAGGTAAACAGATTTCCTATCACTAGGTAAAAATTTATGCAAAACTTAAAAAATTGTAGAACATTAATTATATATGTATGTATGAAACTACTCTTGTCTCAAATGTTAGTTTACGTTGTCTAGCCAACCAACATTTTGGCATGATTTCATGTAGTGATAAGTAAGAATGTCAATAATACGATATATCTTTGTCTATTTGAGAGTTATCACTTATTTACATGTATACACCAATGCTGATGTTATTGCAGTTCATAATAGACAAAAAATTCTTTAAATTCTACAGCGTTATTCATTAAACTAATGTGTTTCATTACAGAGTTTAAAGGGGTAGATCACTTTGGAATCAACCTATCAGAATCAATAAAGGGACCCTCTTAGAAAGGATTCCCGAAATACATGAGATGAACTATTTTAGTCTCAATGAATAAGTGTTACCGCTGAGATTTATATGAAAATATTACTCAGTATTCGTCCGATTGTTTTTGGAGAGACCTCATTTTATCTATGTACACCTTCCTTAAAATCAAAGACTTCCACATACGTTACAAATACGTAGTTCTTATAAGTTGTTTGTTTTAAAAGGTTATATAATGAAGTATTTCTCCTTCATGTGTTTTTAAAGGATGAATAAACAGGGGAATTTCCTTTTTCATAAAAGTAACACTGAATAACACGCAATCAAAATTTTTGATATTATTATCCCAGACGTTTAGTTATCGTGATATTATGGTGTCTGCTACTTATATTGATATAAGTAGTGTATATTGTAGTCGTGAATAGAAGGTCTGGCAGCAGAGAGACAAAAGGATCGAATAGTAAAGAGTGTAAACATAATGCAATTTGTATGAAAATGCAAGAACAATGAAGTCTGAGTCATTTTGAGACAATTGATAGACATTTTGCAAATTACGTATTTACTTTATGATAGATTTCATTAGCAAGTCCTGTAATTCTGTGTCAAGTACATTCGATTATCCCCATCCACGTCCTGTTCACTACCATATATCATGATCTTGTGTTAGATTTTTCAACGGATTTGTACTTGTATATTTCTGAGTAATTTTACATAAGTATAAACTAATTGTTCACTTTGACTTGATTTATAATACTGATTCCGCTTATACTAGTCTATGATAAAAATGTATGTTTAAATATAAATGGTTACAAGATGAACTAAAGCTTCAATAACTTCAAATGAATTAAATTAACCATTTGATTGTATTCTTTGAAGTAAAACAATAGAAAAGTTCTCTAGGTTAATTCATTACTTTTCATTGTTCTATTTTTCTAACCAAATCAAGAACAAATCAACATAGTAAAACAATACAAATTCATCAAGTTTTACAGTTTTTCGTCAACCTGACAAGAAACCACAATACTCATGTTATTCTACTATATGAATTATTCTTGGTTTAGTTCAATTTATAAATGAGAAAAAATTTTTATATAAAATTTCCATTTTGTTTTATTAGCTTCCACTTGGTGTTGGTAGTGCAACAGGGATACGTGTAGGACAATATCTTGGTGCTCAATCTGCTAAAGGCCCATATTCTGTATTTAGTGTAGCTATGACATTAGTTGGTAAGTTAAAACTGATAAAAGAAATTAGTCAATAATTTCAGTAATTATTACTAATCAGATAATTAATAATAAATATTTTTTTGTTGTAAATTTAAGGTTGTTGGGCTTTACCATATTTAGGAATTTTAATTGCTACAAGATGGTATTTACCAAGAGTTTTTACATCTGATGAGTAAGTTCAATATGTTACTTGTTGATTTTTTCTTTATTGTTAGTCAATTCAAATGGAATTTCGTTAAAATGGGGTTTCATAAATCTGAATATCTATAAAAATAACTAATTGCATAATATGAAATTGAGATAGAGCTATTTGATATATATATAGTTGAACAGTATAAGGTATTTCGGTGAGACTATAATTTATGAAGAACTTTAGAGCGATGCTGAAGTGACCCTAAGGATGTCCACCTACTAATAAAGAAGTGTGAGGAACGAGAATTATGATTTACAGTTGATGGTTAGGCTCAGAAACACGATTTAGCGTTTTTATCACGAACTAATATCAGCTAAAATGTCAAAACTCCATTTACCAAGTGAATGAATGGATTTCGCTCCCAAACCCATGACCTGTTATCGTATATCTGATTGCCTCGTCCGCAATTATAGTTTCGCCGGTATTTTATTACTACTTACCTAGATATTGATAAATATCGTTTCTTAAATATTTAAAAGTAAACAGTTCTCTTTTTTTGTTGTTGACAATTTCACCTTCATAAGCTACTACAATAATGCGTTGAAGTTCTGGTCATGCTATCAGATTAAATAAGCTCATAAATAGATAATTAATTCATTTATATATCATAGATTGCATTGCTGACTAATATTTAGAACCATTATTATTATTATTATTATTATTATTATTAGTGGCTTTATTCAATATTACATTTTGGTACAATATAGAATTCTCAGCACAGGTTATCTCAACAAGCCTCTTACACAAAAAACAGAAACAAAGACAAACAAAAGGGAAAAAATGGTTTAAAAAGTATCTGAAAAACTACAACTTTCCAAATTAGAGACATGTTAAGAATTGACTAGGTTAACTCTAATAACCTGTTAGTCACAGAGTATATTTGCTAGGTAAGGTATTATAGAACTTTGATGCTTTTGCTTGCGTGCATGGATTTTAATGTAATTACGTCTCGTTCTACCAGAAGATAAACAAGGAGAAAGATAAGAGTGAAGTGGATGGTTAGTATCTGATAAAATAACACCTGCCAAGAGTTTGCATGACTTTAGATGTCTATCCACAACCATATTAATTATGACCTCGAAAGATTCACCACACATCTTGCTAACTGCCTTCAGCAGTCTCCGCAATATAGCAAAGTTTTTCCTCAAAAGCCCAGGAAAGAATAATGGATAACAGTAAAGGATAATAGGTAATATGCAAGAATCGACAAGAGTAAATGACGAGTAATCCCAAGAGCATGCAATCTCTTTATGTAGTAAGTCAGACGGAAAACCTTCTTCGATCAATAAAACATGATCATTCAAGCGTTTAGATGAAGATTATGGTAAATAGCCTTTACGTCATGATAAAAAAGTTACATCGCTTTTATTAGTTTTTATAATAAACAATGAAAAAAATAGAGACGAATAAAAGTTTTTAAGTTGTAAAGAAAGCTAAGTGAATAAACATAAATTCAATATTACCTTCATGCATATTAAAAAATTAAAGCCGTGACCAGTAGAGTTCAACTGTGTCTGAAGACAGTGGTGGACGGTCACTCAATATCGTGGATTGGTTGAAGTTAGACACTAATACCGTTAGATGTCGTTCATATCAAAGGTCTAGAGGTTAAGCGTTCGCGTGCGAGACCCAAGGTATTGGGTTCAAGTCCCAAGTTCGGGGTCGTGGACGCGCACAGCTGACGAGTCCCCTACTAGGATGAAACAGTCATCCAGTACTTCCAGGTTTTTAATAGTAGTTTATCCTTGATCGATTCATAATCTCAATTAAAACTCAACAATCTCCACAGCCTGTACTGGTAAATCCAAAGAAAAAAAACGACTTGTATAAATCATGGAAGATAATAAATACACTTTGTCAAATGCTATTGATATCTGGGTTAATTATACGCATAGTCTTCTTCGATAATTCTATGGTAAGGAAAAGTGTATATCGGTTTAACATAAACTATAATGTGTGAGTGAATAATGGGGAAGGAAAAAAAATTAGAAGACTATATTAGTTACAGTAAAAATGAAAAGCATGATATTTCCAAATAGTACAGGTGGCTAGCTCGGACAGAATCTTGAAGATATACATCTAAGAATGTTCACAAAATACTCATATTTTTCTAGAGTAGGTAGATTGTGGCTAGCAGTGGTATTCAAGACTTGAATCTCGTCATACATGAGGCATATCGGCTTGATGTATCTGCACCCCAGTATTAATATTCACTCTGGGACTTGAACCCAGTACCCTTCGCTTCAGAAGTCCAGAGATCCCGTTATAAATAGGAGGAAACGCAAACCCTGATTTCTATTACTAACCAACTTTAACTAGTTAAATTAGAGTTGATAAAACAGTGATATCCGAGAAATTCTCACAGACTGCATGACCCTCAACAAAGAGTGGTTGAAATTTAATCTTAAATATCAACAATAGGATAATCTGAACCTTTGCTAATAATTATATTTAGATTTAATCTGACTTTCTATAGTTATTATAAGTTACATAAAATTTATGAATGCATTTTCTAGTAGGCAATTTTAAATATTGTACCTGTTCCGGAATACCTAACTCTCAACAAATTTGATTAGTACTCAACGACCTTCAATTGATATATCTTGTAGCACAATACATGTTTGTTAGAGATAACCATCCTGAAGTCAAATTCTATATGTCAAATGTAACTTTCGAAATATACACAACTTCATCTAGTAACCGTTAATTTGATTGAACAGTATTAGATAAACTCTAAAGGAATGTTTAATAACAGTCATTATTTTCAAAATTACTCGATTCTGATCTTATAAGTTGCTTGGAATAGATACTTATATATATTTAAAATGGTATTACAAAAGTGGTATGCTGAATACCAGTGAATACGCCAAAAACCAGTCGACATTTTCAACTAGTAGTGTTAAATGGAACTAAACACTAGGGATTATGTCAGTTATTCGGATTCAATCTTATCAGCGGTACATTTAATAATATCAACAAACCCCTATATAAATAACTATCATTTACTCTCAGGTAACTAAGTTTGAGAGTGATTCCAAGAGTACTACTGATAAACCGTAATTATAAGGATTCCTTTGTGAAGCCGTTACCAAAAGACAGGATTGGAAAGTGATTGCGTAGTATAGTGGATTTATCAAAGTTAAACATGTTAACTATCGGATACCGGCTGAGTAGTTCTGAGGTTAGGCGATCGCAGTGATACTTTAAATTCCTGGATTCAATCGTTGAGATAGTGGTGCACTCACTGAATTTGTTCTAGCAGGACAAATATTATAAGGGTTGTAGATTGTTGACAAGTAGGGTTATTAAAATAGTTAAAAGGATAGTGGTTATTCACAAAGTTAACTTTTTGAGTAAACGAATTAGTATTCAAACAATTAACTTTTATTGCTTTTGCATAATGCAATATCCTCAAATTATTCAGTTTACTAATTATTCAAAATGCTGTTACTGAATCTACTATACAGCCCCATATTCTTGATTGTCACTGTCCGGCCAATCTAACTGTATACTTGTTTACATTTTCCCATGAACGTTCATGGTTCCTTTATTCATTCGATGAACATAAAACTGGAAGTATGGGCGAACAATTGAATTAAACTGGAGATAATTAAAAGGATCCTCTTTTCTAGAGTGAACGTTATCAAATTTACAGTTGTGTAAATCAGTATAATACTGACTGTTAGACCACAATTATTCTGAAATCTAAGTTCTTCCCAATTAACTACGAGTTTACAAAATGCAGTTTACAAAGAAACAGTGGCTGTTTGTACTGTTTCAATTTCGACCTTAATTAAATATGAATCAATTTTATTGAACAGTTTTAATCTAATAAAATTTATTTAACATTTTCTACTAACCTGTTTTTAATAAACATATAAAAATTAAAAAAAAACTTCACGTGAATAATAGTTAGTTGGATTCATGAGTCGATTTAAGCTAGACCACCATGAGAAACCTAGAAGTACTGGACGGTCATTTCGTGTTAGCGTGGAACTCCTCAGCAGTGCGCATCCACAATCACGCTCGCGGGACTCAAATCCAGGACGTTCGGTCTCGCGCGCGAACGCTTAACCTCTAGACCACTGAGCTGACCGGAATCCGACGGTGTTAATGTTGAACTTCAACCAATCCACAATTAATGTATTATTGTAAATATTAATTATAATAACGACAAATTTATTTATTTCCCAGTACCATATATGTGAATATCATACTTCAGAACAAATTAGCAAAAGCTAATATGTTTTTCCTACTTCATTCAATCTTCCCTATAAACGTATTTGTTTTTAACACAAAATCCTTAATTTGAATTCCTTCACTGCATAACTTACATTGATTGATTAATTGCCCGAATGTACATGATAAAATCGATTATCCAACTGATTATTATTACTAAAAAAAATGAATCAATAGTTACCGTTCCTTTTCTTTCTTTTACACTGTAACTTTTTTAACTCATTTTAGTGGCGTCATTGAACTTGTAGCTGAACTAATGCCAATTATAGCTTTTTTCCAAATTATCGATGGTGCGAATGTAAGCGTTTTTTTTGTATGTAATAGAAATTAGAAATAAGTATTCGAAACAAGTGTAAAATGTCTTTTTTCGGCCCCATTAATTGTTTTATGAAGCGATTCAATTTGTTTGTGTATTCGTAGGAGAATGTTTCTAAAACAGATGGTAGGTTTGATATGGACAATGATCAGCAAACCTGAGAATTAGGCTTTAATCCGATTGGGGTCGTAAAAGGCATACAAAGTTCATATCTAAAACACACTAAAATCTTATATAATGTTTCTTTTATGTCAAACATTTTATATACAAATGTATCATATTTGCTCTATAAAACTAACAGTTTGTCGATAATTCATCTTGATTTTCAAAGTTCTTGTACTGGAGATCTGATTTAATAAACTCAAATTTTCTGATTAGTCATCAATCATATCATTTCAAGTAATCGACAATTCAATTGATACAGTATTATGTTCTATGTAACTGACGAATTTCGTCGATCATCCAGTTAGTTTGATGAAATGTTTCATCACAAACTGAGACGAGTTGAAGATCCATGGAAAGCTAGGAAAAATTAGTTTGAAATTACTCAGTTATGTGCATCCATTACTGCCGTACTAGATAAAGCGATAGACGTTTAGGTCTTATGTAGAACACAATGAGTTTCAACAGTCAATTACTGATAAAATTCAGTAATTGTCCAATACAATCTAATGTTCACTGTCTCACTTTTAACATGGTTGGCTTTAACAGTCATGTTATTTCTCTGTACTTTCAAAAAATTTCCCTTATCATTTGGTAAGTTGACAACTATCTTTGGACAAATGTTGAGTAGTATACATTGTCGCAAGGAACATCATAAATCATCGATTACGATTTCTCCTGAAATATATAAAAATTCCTGTCATAATCAACAAGTCAAATCTAAAAAACCACTTAAGAAACGATTGAAATAATGTCGTTACTTTTAGATGGTGGATGGTGGGAATATTTTCACTAATTAACCACAGAGTAATAAAAAACTTCATAATGCCATGTCATTAGTGATGTCAGAATTCGATTATGGCTTCCTTCAGACAAGTCTTTACTATTATTATTATAATCATTATTATTAAATTTATTCTAGAATTTTCAGTTTCAGATTACCTTACGTAATATTTTTTTGTTATTTCTTTTAAAGGGTATATGTAGTGGTGTCTTGAAAGGATCAGGTTTACAAACAGTTGGAGCAGTTGTAAACATATTTTGTCTTTACATGCTTGCTGTACCACTTGGGATTTGTCTAGTTTATGTAGCAAATCTTAGGTTGACCGGTAAGTGAACAGAGTTTTTTTTCAAATCCTAACTGGACATTACTGACCATAAGTAATTAATCTACCTTTACACCACATTGAATATTTCTCATCTAACTTCACTGAAGAATATATTTATAATCTTTTTCTTCGTCACTTAGACCCATACATTGGAAGAATAATTGATGCGTGTAAAAAAATATTTGAAGCATGATGTGAGACTGGACAATGTAATTAAGCTTGGTAACTGCATTATATTTTTCTTAAAAACGACTTAAATAGTTTCTAAATATTGTTTACAAATGTTTCGATCTACGCCGAGCATATAACTTTTAGACCACTAGATTAATACTCCAGTGATGTACACCACTAAAGATTTCGATAACAAGGACGAAACAGCCACTCAGTACTTTCTGATTTTCAGTGGTTACTAAGATCAACCAATGATATATGCTATTAAATTCAACAATCTCCATAAACAACCCATATTAGTAACAATATCAACGTATTATTTTATAAACGTGATCTAAACATACAAGTGGATAACATTTATTTCCAATACAAAATTCTTAAATTTAACATTCATATGAAATTATCGATCATAGTGATTTAATGCAAAGCTCTTAACCAAATAAGCCCAGCTCGTGGATAACGATAATTGATGGTTAATAAAAATTGTTTGTATATTAAGGGGTGTAGTGATAATAGTAGAGAAATGAATATTGAAGGTATTTTCCGACTTGGGGTTGTAGAGATTGTGGTCTGTACGTTAAGCATTGTGAGCGAGACTGAAGGTGCTGGTTACGAATCCCGAGTACGGAATCTTGAATTTGCAATGCTGACAAGCCTCCTACTGAGGCCGTCTAGTGATTCTAAGTTTCCAGTGGTTGTTTAACATTGGTCGGCTCGTGATTTTAATGAGACGAAGATATTGTGATGATTCTACAAAAAAAATCTAAAAATTTCAATTAGGCTAAATCTTGGGTGACAAGACAGCTCATCAAAACATTATCCAAATTACCCATTTCTTAATACTACTGTACAAATTGTGTGAGTACTCAAAACCTTAATATATTTTAGAACTGGACAAAGGATAGAAAAGATGCAAATAAAAACAAGCTTGGAAGTTACAATCTAGAAAAACCATTTACTTGACCGTCTTTTAACAACCAAAAGATTAAAAGAGCACAGATTTTCTTTGAGCATAAAGTTTAATACTGCTGACTCAAACCAAGTCAAATAACAGCTTAGTTTTATCCCAATTTATTAATGTTGAACACGTAGTAGATAACACTAAAGGATTGAGGACTATTCATCACACACTCATAAGATTTAAAGTCAGCTTTTATACGTAGTGGACTTTATTAAAATCAGTTTATTTCCAACAAAAATGTTAATGAATACCATTTGTATTTATTATCAATAATCCTAACGATTGCATAGTAACGCTATTTTAAATTCCAATTCACAAAAAAGGTTGTCAACTTTTACCATAAAAATACGCTTTGATTTTGAGAATATGTACATTCGAGCTGAAAGCAGTTAATGGAAAGTTTTGTAAAATATTGGTTAGATAGCACAGTAAATTATCATTAAACTATGAAGCTTATCAATAAATAGTACTGATATAATAGCGTTCCGTTCTACTTTACGGCAGCGAAACATGGCCATTAAGAGTAGAAGACACTCGTAAGCTACCAGTACTTGACCACAGATGCCTTAGAAATATTACTCGCATCTTCTGGGATCACCGGGTAAGTAATAGTGAGGTTAGAAGCAGAGTATCAGGGAATGATGGTAAATCAATTGATGAGGTTGTGAATCTTCATCGACTGAGATGGTTGGACTACGTGTTACGTATGCCTGAACAGCGATTACCACAACGTGCAACACTAACCGGTGTTGGGGATGGTTGGAGGAAAGTCAGGGGCGGCCAAACCAAAACGTGGCATCATTGCTTGAAGACACTAACTTCTAGTCTGAGCCATGTTGGTAGATGCAGACTACTTGGTTGGGGTCCACGTGTCTATCATATCCAATGGTTGGAGATTCTGAGTGACATGGCTCAGAATCGATCACAATGGCGTCGGTGTATACACTCCCTGTCTTCCCTTAAACTAAGAGATTAAAATCACCTCATATCTTTCCCTCTACTAACTAATTCTTTCTTCCTGTACTGTATCCTTATATGCAATCTTTCTCTTATATATTACCACCTTTGACCTAACCACTCCTATGAATCCGGTGTCCATCTTGTTGTGTTAATGAGGTATGACAACTTGGACCGATGCATATATGTGCCCGGTCCTACGTTGTAGCTGACTGACTGACTGGCTGATATAATAGAGATCAAAGGTATTTTCTTTTTTTTCACAATATAATACAATGATATGACAATACTACTTGTTCATCAAATTATGCGATCACTGGATATTGATTGAATAATATTACTGAATGCACTAGATCACAATATGAAACAGTTCGATCACTATGCTGGATCACTTGGTAAATACTGATATAATATCCAGCTGACAATAGAGGACCAAATAATAGAGAATGAATAATTTATTCAAATAAAATACAATCATGAATAGATCATAATCTTAATCAAATACTCAACAATTTCCAAACCCTTGTACAATACAATCAGTTCACATCTAGTTAATCCAGTATAGAAAATAATCAAAGAAAAGTATTTACAGCATTAGTGTTTCAACGTTTAACAAGATTGTGTGTCTATTTCTCTTCATTTATTGAACAATATCAGTCCACTAGCACATTAATTATCAAACATATATGTATAATGAATGGGTAAAAGTTTACTAATTAAATTAGTTTCTTTTTCCTATCATTCCTAACAATAAAATTCCACTGCATATTGATTGGTAAGTCAAGAACATGAGAGTGAAATATGAGTAATCATTGACATTATAAAATCTGATTGAATCTGTGTATAGTACAGGCGATGAATTGTTTATTCGCCTTTTTCAATCTGATTTACATTAATTATCATCGTTACATTGTTATATAATAAACGTTTTTATGTTATGTGACAGGTATTTGGGTCGGTCTCGTTAGTGCTGCAACATTACAAGTGTCTACATTATGCATAATATGTTTCCGTTTGAACTGGACAACACAAATCAAACTGGTATGTAATGATAATTGGTTAAAAACAATAATGAACAAATGATAATTAGTCTAAAATAACTTTAATTTTCAAAACAAAAAAACCCATCTTATTCCATTTAGAACATTAATGATACGCCAGAATGTATCAATCAAATACACAAATAGAAGCAGAAATACAAATCTGAAAGGGGTTTTGTGGATATTCTAGTAAATTAATAGTTTAATTATTAAGTCAATTGAAGCTAGACCACCATGGAAACCCAGGAAGCACTGGATGGCCGTTTGAGTCCCAGTAAGAGACTCGTCGGTGGGGTTCCTATGGTTCTGTTGTGAGATAGTAGCTCACTGAAGACAATGGTGGACGGTGGTGAGGTTTCGCCGAACGGTTAAAGTTTGGCATGAATGCCGTTGGATTTCGGTCAGTTCAGTGGTCTAGAGGTTAAGCGTTCACACGTGAGACCCAAGGTCCTGAGTTCGAATCTTGCAAGCAGGATCGTGGATGCACATTGCCGAGGAGTCTCATACTAGGACGAAACGGACTCTCAGTGTTTTCAGGTTTTCCATGGTGATCTAGATTCAATTGACTCAAGAAATACAAATGTTACCATTTTTGCCAGTTGATGATTTGAGGAACTTATAATCTACATATTGACTTTATTACTTTTGAATGAATTCTAAAATAATATAAATATTGATGATTATTTATTTCTGTGTACGACGTTATTTATTACGAATAGTATTTGATTGACGTTTAAAAGTAAAGTGTACGAACACTCAGGTGGGAACAAACAATTTATTGTTAAATGCAAAATTACAGAGTTTTTACGTAAAATGTGAAAACCATACATTAAATACTTCATTTGCAAACCTTCCATCAATTATCCTCTACATCTTTTATGATTCTTTCAATTCTAACTTTCTTTATGATTCCTTTCTGTTTTATTCAGTTAAATCTTCTCAACCTTCTTTTGACAAGCATTCTATTTCTGATTGATGTTCCATACTACTTTTTTTTACATACATTAATATCGATCAGAATTTACTAGGAAAAGTTATGTAATACGCGACGTAGAAGTTTAGGAAGTACTATATATTGTCACTATCGTTGTTAACATTTAATATCAAAGTTTGATCAATCTTTAATGGAATAGAAGCTACTTGAGCGCTTGTATGGATACCATTTTAATATGATATATATCCAATAGATGTTGATAACTGAAGTAATGTAAGATCTTTTCACAAATCTATTTTAAGCATTTCAAAAATGTTTCATCAAAATCAAAAATAGATCCGTATATTATACTTGTACGTAAATTGATTTTGTTCTGCTCATTGGATCTAACACATACTTATTACGTGTCATATCATTCACATTTATAGCAAGTATTTTAAAATGTCAAGACTCAATTATGCGAAATAATCCAAATGTTCCTATAGCTAAGGTTTGCTTGTTGTTTTTTGATCATTAGTCCTATTACTTTATTGTTTCTCTGTGTATCTATAGGCTAAAGAAAGAATAAAAGTAGAGAATGAATCATCAGAAATGGTTATGAAAAATCTTGGTGAACTTACTGCTACTGGGATTGTGAACGTTGATGAGGGTAGGTAAAATTATAAATACACAAAATGACTGAATACATAAAATGTATATACTCATGTTATCTAGTTAATTCTTTCAAATGCTTACATTCAACAGTTCTAGAATGAATGTGATAATTAATAGAATAAATAATTTAATGATCGTTGCATGTTAAATGGTTTCCATGAATTTTAAATGCACCTGTGGTGTGTGCTTTTTATATCGACATAACTAGTCTATAACGCTAGTCAGGAATAAAATGTCTGGTAGCAGAAAATTGAGAAGATCGAGTAGAGAAGGACTGGAACTGAGAAAAATCGGTATGGAAATGTAGGAACAATGAAGTCTGAGACAATTAATGAACATTTTGAAAATGAAGTATTGCTGCATGGTTTTTCTATTTTATCAAGTGTTATGAAATATTTTTACACGTTGTACTTGTATTCTTTGTAGCGGTAAATTAGGCTGAAGGGAATAATCCATTATTCTGGAATTTATTTAAACGATTTAAAAAGCTTATATCAGCCAACACATGAATAGCGCAATAAAAGAGTAGAAATTGTCTGAATATTCTTACCTGCCGAATACTTATCATCCAAGCTCATTAGTGTCGTAGAAGCAACAGTCGGGGAAGAAGGGACAAAATACAAATTGTCAAGACAATTCGACAGATAGGTGAATTCGCTCGTCAATATCGTGTCAAATTAGAATAATGAACCGAAATTCTTGAGAATTCCCGACATTTTAATTTATTTTAAATCAATGAACATTTACGTCTTATCTGTCAACAAGTCATATTTTGTCGTGCATGCAAGCAGTGTCACCATTTTTTCAGAATTAGAAATGGATATTTTATCCATCGATGCGCTTTATGGGTATTCCGTTTCCCTTTGTACTACATACTACTTGCAAAAAGCTTCCTACTGATAAACTGAGTTGTTATATGCAATCTAGATAAGAGCAATGGTCGCGATTATTTGAAAAGTTGTTTAAAAATATTTGAAAACTACTGAATTGTATGCTATTGTTTCTTTAAGAAGTATAATTACAGTCTTCAAGAAATATTTGGATAGCCTTATTAATAAAAGGACGTTTGAAAAGAATAGTTTATATGGATGTTTTTTAACTATGTTGCATTAGTTCGTATTTCTGATAAGATTTCCAAGGTCAATACAGTTAGTTCGTTATACTTGTTATCGCTTGTCCCAACCTGAAAAATACCTAGTATTATCGAGATAGGTTTTGTAAATTACTTCTCAACATTACAGGTCGTTTTTATGGAAACCGTATGTTTATTAGGCAAATGTAACGCTCGTTTACATTTTCAGGTGATGATTTAATTAAGACGATTGATGGAATGTCATGTTTTTAGTTTTTAAAATTTCAATTTCTAGAACCCTCAAGTCACTACCACACGTAGAGTCGAACATGGAACATTGAGGTTTTGTGTTAAACACAGTATTGTTTAACTGAAGAGTCGCTATCAAATGACCTGAATTTCTAATTTCAGTCGATCCTCTGTGCAGTGTAAGCGTTATCTGATGAGTAATTCTGGCATTCCAAGCACCTACAAACCACCTAAATCATTAGATTTGGGAGAGATCTCACTAAGTTTCAACAAAAAGCAAGTCTTTTGAGTTCAGTCGTGTCGGTAATCAAACAGATGGTCGGGTAACACGGTCAGCAGTTACAGATGTTAACCAAATAATTCACTTTGCAGGTACTCCTATAAAGATTTACAGGTTTTTAGTGCCCAATCATGTCATATGATTGTACAACCAAATTGTTCAAAAGTCGCAAAACACAGTGGCATGACGACGGTTTTGAATAAAAGAAATTATCGTTTACTGAAAATATAAGAACGTCTAGATCTTACCTCACTATTATGAAATATTCAGGGTTGGAGTGATGCTTCAAACCTCCTGGCAGTAGCCCATTGATTCATTCTGTAGTTAATAATCAGCGTACTAGATAATAAAGAACATTGGACGATATTTCTCACAGTAACTAACTCATAATTTTCAACTTACTGTGGGAGACATTATTTCTAACTTGTGTTTTCAAATCTTTCTGGAAATAATCATATAATATTATTGTTATCAAATTTATATTTTCTAGTAATGAAATGTACAACTACTCGTTGTAAATTTATCAAAAAATTATTGTACTCATCTTTAGTTCATTTGAACAAACTAAGTCATATATATATATATATATATATATATATATATATATATATATATATATATATATATATATATATAATATGATGGATAGAATTTCTAGTTCAAATGAATGCTTTGATATTGTTCAGTCATCTGAGCCTAATGGTTCAATAATGTAGCTAACACTGATTTCTAATCATATGATTGATTGACCTTTTACAGAGATCAATCAAAATAAGATAGTCAAGTTAAATACAAGCATAAAACAAAGCAACAAAATTTACGACTACAATCACTTATTAACAGGGTTACCAGAACAAAGTAACTTGAAACTAGTGGAATAACTTCAAAGCATACTTCTAAATGAAATAAGAATTGATGTTTTCTAGATCAACAATATAATAGCTTCATAATTCAATCATTCGACTTGGATAATTCTAATATCTGTGTCTATTAAATCCATTGATTCAATAATTTTCATTAACATTTTATTATCTCTTTCGTTACAAAATAATAGCCCAATAATTTAGTCAATCTAACATTAAACCTAATATAAAACAAACGGTAAGACTATAATTTATGAACGAACTTTGAGCGACGCCAAAGTGACCTTGAAAATGTCTACCTTCTTAATAGTGGTAAGCGAATGCTATAAAGTAATTTGAAGAATTAAAACAATGATTTATAGTTAATGATAATGGTTAGAATTTAAGATTTATAGTTTACATCGCGAAATGATAACCACGATAATGCCAACATCCTATGTGTGACGGAATTTTGCTCCAAAATCCAAGACCACTTATCCTTAATCTGATTGGTTTGTCTATTAATTATAATCTCGCCAGAAAAAAGAAACTTTAACACATTTCACAACGTATTATTAAATAATAATGAATCAAACCATCATTTTTTCTTTTCTTTTTTCTTCTATTATAAACAGATATTCATATTTCCCAGAAAAATCATCAAGTTAATCATTTACCAATTGAACAAAATCATAAATCAATAAAACAACAAAATTCATTAAATAAAATTATTTTAAGAAATAGAATTATTTTTATTATAATTTTATTTTTAATTCTTATTTTAAGTATTTTATGTAGATTATTAATTAATTTACAAAATTATTTTGGTATTTATTGTGTTTATCATAATGATACATTTATACAAATTACTAATTATAATATTACTGATAATTGTACAGTAGTGATTCCATAGAAAAAAAACTAAAAAAAATCTTTTAAAAAAATTTTTAAAAAAAACATTTTTTTTGGTAGTTTGTTTGCTTGTTTTTTCTTTTGTTCCTTGATGAAAAGATACGTTCGTAATTAATTTCATTACAAATGACTAATTATAATATTACTGTTAGCTGTACAGTAGTTATTCCATAAAAAAAATTTAAAAAATCTTTTAAAAAAATTAAAAAAACATTTTTTTTGGTAGTTTTTTTGTTCTTTTTCACGAAAAGGTACGTTCGCAACTAATTTCATTACAAATTCCTCATTATAATATTACTGTTAGCTGTACAGTAGTTACTCCATAAAAAATTTTAAAAAATGTTTTAAACCAAAAATAAAAAAATTTTCGGGTAGATTTTTTGTTTTTTTCCCATGAAAAAAAACATTCATAATGAATTTCAGATTTAATGTTTGTTTGTTTTTCTTTTCTTTTTTATTTAAGAAAAAAAATTAGTTTTTACGAATTAATTAAATACAAATGAAATTGATTAATTTAAGATGATTATTGAACATTGAATTCAATATCAATCAATATTTTGTTGATATTAAATAATTTTGTAGAAAAAAAATTATTCAATAATCATAAGTAAATTTTAACAGATTTTTAAAGTAGTGTGTAAATGTGTCGTTTGTTTTTCTTGTTTGTTTATTTTCATAAACAAGTTGAGTATGAATAAATGTTTAAATAAAGATTTGTTGATTAATATAGTTTAATTATATTATTTGTGACGACGGACCACAAGTGAACTCGAGGAAGCTGTAGGAGGCTCAGAAGGAGACGAAGATATTCCATCCAATCACCTTTCAAAAGAATATTCTAGAATTCCAACGTGTAGCCTCCTGATTAGTCAATGCTATGAACGCGGATTGATGGACTGTAGTGGTGATTTCGTTTTTACTAAAAATTATAAATACCTGACAATTTTGTACTATAATGAACACTGTTAAATAATATTTCTTTCGTTAGTCTTCTGTCTTCTTATTGCGACTTGGAGGGTTTTTAGTGTTCTAGTGCTCTGTTATACGCGGTATATCAAGGAATCATCCTTTAAGATATAACATTATCTATCGATAATGAAGAAAATACTATCTTCTAATCTGTTTAGATACAATTTTATAAACTTAAATAATAAATTTTATATGGATTCTACTTTGTTATTGAAAATTTATTATTTAACATTTTAATTAGGATAATATTGATGTATGATCATATGAAGTATGGAATGGTTAGCATCAACATTCAATCAGATGTTATATCACTGTTGTGAACAGAACATGGATCAGGTCAAAGGGATGTAGTTAGCACGAAATTACAAAGTTACTTTGTAAAATAGGAAAACCATATAGTAAATCGTCAATTTGCAAATTATCAATCCATCATATCACCCTGGACTGTTTCTGTTGCAAATATCAAATCATTGTCTCACATTTCATTGTTCATGAATTGTGTTCCCGCTCTTCCTTTCTTGATCTTCTACCATTTTCTGTTGCCAGAAATTACGTATTTAACTCGCGTCATATACTACTTATATCAATATAAATAGCACACACCACATCACTGCTTGTTGTCATTGTTTCGTTATATAAGAAAGACAAGTTTTTTTCTAGCTTAAATCAAGCACATGTTTATGAACTATAATATGAATCACAGTATTTTTATTATAGCTAGTAACATTATCTTATGGGTTCAGCTGAATTATCAGAATGAGGTTCAAACATTCACTTGGTATTGTTTGGCTTGTATCTCTCCATTGAGCTTTAAGACTGCAATTGATCAGTCTGTTATTGACATATTTGCATACTGTGCGTATGCCTCAAGAAATCGTTAGTTTTTACCTGATATAATACTTGTAATTTACTAAGTAAAGTACGGAAAAAGAACTAACAGTTAGCTATAGTTCAAGCTATTAGTTTTAATCATGTGCCAATGATACTGTATTAAGATTTAATATGAATTGAACAAAGGCACCATAACCAGTTTCCTATGGATATTCATGAGGATTTGTTTTTATAGTGATATATAAATATATGGGCCACCTGCTCCTGTCATTTAGATATTATCTGCTTTTGTTCGCATCAACACATCATTATGTCCATTAAACTTTTATGACCTTTTACTGTACAGATTACAAAAAAAGTACAATTACAGACATCATGGTGGCTAGCAATATCCATTGAAAAGAATGAACATCATTCCGATGTTGATTACTGAACTGCTAAAAGTTAACTGGTGATCACTCAATATATACCGTCAGAATCGATTAAGAAACAAGGAAAAGAAACTTGTTGAATACTTTGTGCTGAGAATTCATCATTATACCGAAAATATAATGTTGAATAAAGTCACTTATAACATGAACATGGGAAAAGACTTCAAAAGTACTGACTGTATTACTAGTATCTTTCAAAATTTGAAACAGTCAATCTTTCGCGATCTTTAGAAATATCCGCTTCACTAAAGTATATAAGATTGTTTATATAAAAAATAATTGGAATCTCTGCTTCAACAAAGGTTCTATAAGACCACAAATATAACATTACTATAATCACAACTAAAGTATGTGTAAGCAAATGCTTATAAACTTAGCTACTAAAACTCGATGGGATAAGCTTAACGATGGTTTTCCAAGTAAAAACAAGTAAATAAATTAATAGTTTTTGGGGTTGTGGAGATCGTTAGGTTTTTGGTTGAGATCATAAAACGATTGATGTTAGACCACCACTGAAAACCAGGAATCACTGGACGGCCGTTTCGTCCTATTGTGGGACTGCCAGCAGTGCGAATCCACGATCCCGCTCGCGGGATTCCAACCCAGGGCCTTCAGTGTCGCGCGCGAACACTTAACATACTGGACCACTGAGTCAGCATCCAGTGGTGTCAATGTCAAACCTCAACCAACCGACGAAGTAGCGCGACCATCTTCCATTGTATTGAGGTAGATACCTGTTTCTACCCGACACGGATTAGCTCCACTGATCATGGCTTCTCACCAGAACTCTGAAGGTTTTCTCACGAATCCATTTCATCATGTGTCTTCTACATAAGGTATAGCTTATAAATAAGATATACTCTAACCAGTCTAAGCATTCAGAAACAAACCTTCAAAGATAAAACATTTCACAACGAAACTGTAAAGTAATAGGCTGAACAATTCATTAAATGATAACCCATAAGTGATATAAATAAATCTGTACCTATAAGAGTAAACGAAATAGAAGAGACTGTAGGTGTCATTACCAAGGTTTGATTTGATAATTTCGAATAAATTGAGCATTGGGTTGATTGTTATAAATAAAAATAATATATTTGTAATATCCCAATGAGTAGAAAATTGGATTTTTCTGACGTTTCGTGACTTAGTGTAAGTCACTTCTTCAGAGAATAAATAACCAAATTAAAATTAATCCAAGTTTAAATAGTACAACGGAACAATGCAAGAATAATATTTGATCAATCAAAAATAGGTCTGAACAAGCTGGTGTCATGTCATTTCTGTCAAGGTGATTCATAAGTGATATGTATGTAAATTTGTGTGTATGTATATGTGCATTGTTTAAGAATGAAAACTTGTGTGACCTTTATGGTAAGAAAGGATAGAGTTTAAATTTGTAATATGATAGTGTGAAACTGTAAATACGATCAGACTGAATGGCTAGGATAGATGGTCGAAGTAGGATGTATGGTGATACCTTCCTTTCTATTGAGAGAAGTAGGATTAAGCATTATATGGAACGCCTCAGCTACCCTTCTTTCTTTGTAGTTGGAAAAGCCTTTTTGCAATATTTTGATATTTTTAAAATCGATTAGGTGGTTGTTGAAAATGGCATGAACTGCTATTGCCGATTTAATTTGGTTATTCATTCTCTGAAGAAGTGACTTACACTAAGTCACGAAACGTCAGAAAAATCCAATTTTCTCCTCATTGGGATATTACAAATATATTATTTTTATTTATAGAAATAGAAGAGAGTTGATTTGTTGGTCAGTTTAATCCTAATGAATAAGAACTATAATGGTTTCGGTAGTTTAGGCTTTAAAACTTTCAAAACCGTAAATAGGGAAATCGTAAAGCCAATAATGATATTAAATACATGAAGATTATAAAGGAATTTGTGTATGACATCAAATAAAATGTGGTTAGAACAATGAAAAATGTTTTCATAAGATAGGAGCATAACAATGGGTTATACATATATAAATGACATATTATAGAAGAAAACTTATATAAATTATAGTCCAAAGAGGTTGATTAAACCATATTCATTACACAGCTATGCAGACTACATATTACATTGTTTATTTAATATCACAGTAAAATTTATCCAGTTTATAGTTTAATGAAAGTATAATGAATGATAAACTCTTCCATTTCCAGCACCTCTTCCTAATTCCTTTCTCTGCTGGGATCTAATTTTTTCTCTTCCACAGTAGGTTGCTACTAATAGTGTTCGGCCAACGACTCTGAAGTATTTTGTGTTGCTGAAATAAAATTAAATGACCCAATAAGAATAAATAATAAACATCCATACTCTTACATTGCCAAAATTAGACTTATTGGAAGTTCTGATCATATGAAAATTCAAACACCCTTAACTCTTTATGTATTCAAAAACGGTTTGCTCTCACAACCCCAGTGATGTTTTATTATGTAATATGGTTAATTTCACATAGTTTTTTAGTTTTACATTAGTTTCTTCATTATCATCTTTGTTCTCCAATACTTTTCATTTGTCTACTTGACCTTCAGTTTTTCTCCATACATAAATGATCTTAACAACTATGCGTGTGATCAGATTATTAGAAATAATACATCGTATAGTTCTGATAATCTTCGTCTTCTCATTAGACTATTCAAATCTATCAATCTGGACTAATTCATTCAAATATATATCTTAACTAAGATAAAATTAGAACGTATCCTATCATATTGACAAATATTATTCAATTTGTTCAGTTTAGAACTGATAACTTAATATTAGCCATTAAATATCTAAATGAATTCATGCCTTTTTTATCAACATGGGTTGATATTTAAAGATG